GAGCTGAGGACAGAAGACCCAGCCAACTTCAAGGTTAGACCCATTATAAGCAGTGTGGGGGTCCTACAGATAAAATTTCCTGGTTCCTGAACCTCATCCTTGTGCAGCTCCCACATGGAATGTTCTTCTCAGCCATTATAACAGAAGATTCGTCAAAAAAACCTAGGCAGGAACAGTGCTGTCAGTAAGAGACCAGCTGGAGCTATCTGTGGCGGCCATATCGACCAGAACACCATGTCCGGTGATCTCATGCGATCTGCTTCCGTTCGTATTTGCTAGCACTCTGCTCGTTCAAATGCACACGTCAGACGCTTCTGATTGGGGCACTGGCTGCGATTTTTCTCTGTCTTTCCTCTGCAGAACTGACTTTTGTGATATCTTGGTGTTCCTATATAAGAACGATTACCCAGAATATCTGATCGCGGACTCTGCATTTGAATCTGCATTCATATCGATTCTGTGAAGCAAGTTACGGAGGAACTTCTCTCCAATTTAGATCCACAAAAAAATAAGATTTTCCGCACTATTTACCCTTTACTGCCCCAACAATCCAGAATTGAGCCAGTTTCTGACCGACTTTTTTCTCCGTGGACAGATTTGGCTCAAATGTTGTCTCCTGGGGTATTTTGACCTCCTGAATACGAATATGACATTCGCTCAGCCCGAAACTTCCTGGCGCCCACAGGCGCCGGTGATTTGGGATATTTTGGCGCCAGCGCCTGTAGCGCGAGAGCCAGGGGGTAACCAGCAGGTTTCGTGCCTAGCGGATGTGATATTCATGTTCAGGAGGTCAAACTACCCCAGGAGAACAAATTTTTGCCAACGCAGAAAAAAGTCGGTCAAAAACTGGAATGTTTTTGGAAGACTGGGCAGTGAAGGGTAAATAGTGCCGATTCCTAAAGTCTGCTCGTGTAGTGAATATGCGCATCACACTGCTTCAAGAGCGGGAAGTCCCGCGTTGGGATTCCTGTCACGTTGGCGTTTCTGATTTTCTTCGAGATCACGGACTATTTTGGGACATATTTTTGGTAATTTCTCCAATTCGATCCCTCGCTGAGAACCTTGAAGAGACTGTCCTAGGAAGAGATCAGACGTGAGGCGCAACGGTTTGAGAGATTATGACCCCAGACCGGTGGCTCATTGAAGGCCCCATCCAAAGATTATTCATTTTGAAAACTCATTTGACAACAGCTTCTCGATCCATCAGGGGGTACAGCTAATTGTGGAGTCATCTATGAAAGTATTTCTTCGCCATGTCTTTCAGGTTCCGGAAGAGGCGATTACGGTACTAAAATATAACTGGAGAGTAGGAGACGCCAAAAGCTTCGACGCCTGCATCCGGCATCAGCTGAAGGAAAGGTTCCCCCCACTTCTGCAAGTTCCATTTCGCCAGCGGGTGCTATAAAATTTGAAGCAGTTAGGGTACTGAAGTTTGTTGCGACACTCGCTGGTGCTCTCTCTTACTGATTACTACCACATCAGCTTCCTAAACGTCTTTACATGCTGAGAATCCTTCATCGATCTAACCCATATGGAAACAACGTTCATGAAAGACATCAACTGCATATCACAATCAGAATTTCACGATACAGGAACGGGTTCATCTGCTGCTCATCGACTGATCGTTTTTTCATCATCATTGCTGAGATAATTTGGTTTGAAGCGCCGAGCTCGAAACCTGCATTATCCTCCTTCAGTAGTTGGATGAATTCATCGTTCTTCCATTGCCATTTTATAGCACCTTGTCGTATTCCCTCACTATCACCACGAAAAATGGGCAACAATTGCAGCCAAGTTTCTCTGGGTAGTTCTCTGGGTAACCTTTGCCTTTCGAAAGTTTAGTTCGACTTCCTGGCTCAGAAATCCAGAGCTGGCTGGAAACTGTCCTCCAGGAGTATTTAAGCCTCATGAACACAATTATCGCATTCTTTGACGCGAAAACTTAGGAGCCCGCTCTACAGGGGCAGGTTTTCAACAGATTGGGCGTCATTACTGCTCGCAGCATGTGTGTGAGATTAGACTAATATACAGGTGTCCATGTTTGTAGCCACCATTCCTGAATCTATTCAAAATTTATGGCATGTTGAAACCATTTTCAGGTAATGTTCCTTGTTTGGAGGTTCCTTTATGGAGAAGGTGTAAAATGATTTAGAATCATCACACAAACTGTAGTAGTCATGTCACTTACATTGGATTGGAGCGAGAAAGTGAACTTGCAAACTGTAAAAAACGACAAAGAGTGCGAAGCCGACAAAGAGGCCCAACAACTGTACACACAGTCGACGCTCTCGCTTCATTGCCCTGGAAGATTATAATTAGTGTTGTACAAGGCGGATGTTGGTGCAAGATGAAGGCATTTTTAAACGAAACACGCTGCTACTCTTCCGGTTTTTGATCAGAAATCTCAATATGGTTCCATAGCATAAGCTGCACAGCAAGAAAGTGATGAAGACGAAAAAAGCTGTCATTGACGTAGCAATCTCAAAATGAGAACATTCTATGGAATCAGAAAGCTTTTTTCAGGTAACTAACCGTTATACTTTGCCTTTCAGATAGCACCTCCATGTTCTGTGAGCTCACAAAAGTGGCATTACTGAAGAGGAGAAGTGGTATTGAATATACTGTTGGCACTACCCATTGGAGAACAGGAAGAATCCATCGATGTGAACTGTTGATGATCTAGAGGTACAAATTCACGTCAACTTCCATTCAGAAAGCCCAATTTTCTACAAACACTTCACCTGCTCAATTAGATGACCATGTTCACAAAGTGAGACATATCGTTGAAATGAGATAACTAGAACGCCGAAACATCGCAACAAAACTGACAAGAAGGTTTGGTTGAAGCACCAGTTCGCCAAATAGGAGTCCTTATAAAGCCAGAAGAAGCTGTTAAAAAGCCCCGATTGGCGAAGTATTGAGAAAACAAGGTAGTTTGTCATTGCTAAAATATCCATAATGCCCTGAAGTAGAATTAATTATCAGCGATTTCTTTGGAATTATTTTCTCATTACGCTTGAATTTTTCTAGAATATGTTTTCAATAGTTCATGATGCCATCGATGCAAAGCATTTTTACCGCAACTCTGATGAGGAAAACGGTGAACAACTCAAAGAAATTTTTGTACACAACTCTAAAGACACAACTTTTCAGCCACCCCTCACTCGTGTGTTGACAGTCTTTAGAGCTGGAACGAGTTGGAAAGAATGACTAGATGGATGTCGTCACGCAAACTCATGAACCCTGTTTAGCACATGCATCCACTGCCCCGGCGAATCGTAATAACTGTAGGTCTATAGAACAGTACATTGTCTTTAAGAAATTCGGGGAACGTATTCGATCGTTGGGACGGGAAAGCGGTAATTGGGTGCTCATCGAGTAATGAACAACTTAGATCACAGAGACGTTGTTCCTCTGTTCATGCAACCATGACTAAGAACTCATTATCTTCCACAATCAAACTGTTTCGTGGAGGTATTAAGCAGACTGCTTAAAATGATTAATTGATTAAGCTGACTGACCGTCAGGTTCAACGAGGAGGGGATTACGAAGTTTTCTGTTGTGGCACCAGGATCTCACTCGTGCCAGTGTTTGATCAGGTACTCTCTCAGATTTGCCTGGTTTGACTGGAACTTCGACCGGGCAGAGGGATATGTGAACGGATTACTGTCTTTGTAGTTATTCTATTGTCTTCTAATAAAAATTTGTCTGCTCTCCTTCCTTCATGGGCTGAACATTTTCGAACAAATTTTTCTTCTTATGGTAAAGAAGG